TCCAACCTAGACAATTCTGTTAATGTTCCTGAACACCCAGAAGCCCAAACTGATTTGAGAAGGCCCAGAAATAAAAACCACTGGAGGTGTAAAAATGCACAGAGAAATCATGTGTGCTTACCTTCTTCCTTCCCTCTCCCAGTCACCTGCTTACGGCTGCTGCTTCAGGCTGGAGACCAAGCTGGATGGGCCATGTTCTTTGGTTCACCCCTTTGACTCTCAGAGGATGTGGCTTTAGGTGTTTTGTTGCTGTCCTCTGAGCTGCATCCGTTCCTAATGTCTGTGACTGTTGGGCAGCCAGAGCAGTACATGGATGGAGGTGCAGGTGGTATGTTCTAGCTGCTCCTGTCTGGTAGAAGGGGACTCAGTCCTTCCTCTTACTTCTGTGCAATGTGCAGCTTAAATTTGTTGGGCTTCCTGACTTGTTATACTTGTCTTTATTATTCCTGAGTAGCTGTTCCCTATGCATTGGCTGAGTAGGAGAGGGATGTTTCATGCTACAAATTCATCTCTTTAATGGTTTTAACCATTAGTCAGAATTTTCTTTGGGAGCTCACTTGTTTGAGGTGAGGCTTTAATACATAAAGATGCTCTTGCATTCTAGTTGTCCCCCAGCCATTGAAGGTATTAACTGTGGAGTCTCTAAAAATGTTAGTACCTCTTGAAATTCTGAAACTGGGTTTGTTTTTTGCTGTTTTAAGTGTTCCATGTTTTCTTTTGATAGCTCTGGCTAAAGGTCTGTACAAGAGGAGAACAAAATACTGAGCTGTGAAATGAAACTGAGGAACATAGAACAACTGAAAAACATGGTTTACCCTGAGGTAGTTTCCGTGGGTTTTCTTATCATTCAGAAAAAACATGCCCCCTACAAGGGAAGGTGAGCCTTTTTCTAGACAAGGCTTTTGAATGCTTATGTATTTGACATGGAACAGAAATCAGCAGTGTTGAGATCTGCTGAAAAGGCTTTCCTGCCCACCGGAAATGGTCTACTGAGACCTTATTTTTCAATATTGTGTGGAACTCTTTGGTCAAAAATATGCTCACCTGAACGTACGTTGATCCTGGTCTGATGGGTTGCTCTTCAAATAAGGCACTTGTTTCTGGAGAACTACCCCTTCTGTGCACTGCTGAGCAAAGGTCTCATTGCTCCAGCTCAACGTGAGCACTGGAGCGTAGTGTTTGGCCTTGGAAGTTTTGTTCCATCATCTAGTGCCGTTGGGAGCGGTCTTACCTTTTTGTGCCACGCTGGACGGTGTGAAGACTTTGAAATGAGGCAGTGTCCACGTGGTTGGAATTTTAATATTGTTCCCATGCTTTAATTTGGTAATGCTATAAGTGCCTCGAGATAACAGGCTTTTTTTAAGTATTACCCAGAGTTTTGTGCTGCTGACTGGTAAAAAAATAATAATGAGCTGAACTACAAAAGATCCAAAAACTGTGCGTGTAGCAGCTTCCCAAGATAGCTAATAAGGATGGGGCTTGTAGGGTTCCCTTCCTTGCCGTGGCAGAAGCGATGCCCTCCTCTGGGAGCCAAAAAGCCTCTGTGGTATATCCCCAACTTCCAAGCATTGGGAATGGTGTGTGTCTGCTGAGGCTGGCGCCGGAGGAGATGCCAGGCCTGGTTGTGTACTCTAAGGTAGCACATACCGTCTCTTCACAAACTGCCCTCAGCATCGTTAGCTTTTCCTCTGAAACTGAAACAAGCTTCTCGTCCGTTCCTTGCTTTGAAAAGTAATGGGGGGGGAAACATCTAGTGAGGCTTAAAGATTCTAGTGTGGCCTTGTTCTTGCTCACTGACAGCTGGGAGAGGTTTGAGGGGGTCTGTGGGGCTTCTACAGCTGGCGTGATGGGGTTTATCTGAATATCGTGGCCTTTGAGGGCTGATCAGAAACGGTGCTTGTTGGCAGTGTGCTGGGAAGAGACAGCTTTGCTGTGGTTCTGTTGGGTGATGCAGAGGATGTCCAGAATACAGGTGTGTGGGACCTGTCCGTGCCCATCTCCATCCCTCCGGATGCTTCACGTCCTTCTGGTTTTGGCACTCTGTAAAATAAATAACTCTTCATCCTGAAGTGAGTTGCCTGCTGGGAAGTGGAGAATCCTCATGGAAGGATTCTGTGTTACTTCTGTGTGGTCGTAGGAAGCCAACGTCGATCGAGCTCAAGCTGAGATGTGTGTCTCCAAGCCTAAGGCGTAGCTAGTGCCATCAAGGAGATGTCACAGGAAATGGGCTCAGTGTCTGGAGGTACTAATTAAACACAAAACAAGTTTAATTATCTGTCAAAAGCTAGAAAGGGTCCCTCTTGCTGCTGGTAGTTTCGGACTGCCTCTTTCATTGTCATTCTTCCTTCCATAGGAGCTCTTCCAGCTGCCTTAGTCTTCTCTTCAAGAGGGGCTGTGGTCCCCTGGGTTCTGCAGATGGTAGGCTTTGTGCAGCCAGGCGTGCTGGGAAAGGAAAGCTTGGAGCTCGTTACCATGATAAACTAGTGCTCCAGCCGGGCTGTCTGCATGCTATCGCTTGTTCACCCCTGCTTTTTCTTGCTGCAAGAGGTGGCTTTCTGTATCGTGCCGAGGTTCCTGGCTTCTCGGCCAGGTGTAAGGTGTGCTGCAGTCGGGAGCTGAATCCTTGTGTCGCTCCGGGCTCCTCCGTGCTTCCTTGGAGCCCTCGTTTCTGGGTGAGCCCAGCGCCAGCAGCGTACGGCCGGGGAGAGATGGACAACGAGCTCTGCCTGTTGAACCTCAGGTGCTCCCAAGATGGCGGAGTCCTGTCTGCGCGCACACGGGAGGAGTCGTGTTTGCTGTACCACGGGTCAAAAGATCTTTTAGTGAATGTTTTCTGTGGGGTGGGGACGGGTTTTGGTCACCTGGCTGTGCCAGTAGGAAGTGGCAGAGGTCGATGGGCTCAGGGGATTTTCTCACGTTACACTTTGACTCCTCCGTGACCTGGCCATCGTTTTGTTCTTTGAGCAGAACATGAATAATATCTAACTGCTGGTTCAAACTATGCTTTAGGACAGAGCGAGATGACTTATTTAATTTTATTCCTGAAGTAAATCATTGTACCATAGAGCGAGTTATAAATAGAGTCTTCCCTTTAGCTTCCTGGATTGTAGATGCCACTTCATCATAGAGGTTGGTATTTATGTAAAGAGACTGAGGCAGTTTCTGGCCAATGAACCCCATTTGGAATTTTTATGTACAACTTCTGTTTTTCCTGCTAAGTTTAACTGGAGCATGTTCAGGGTGGCAGATGAGCCAGCTTCACCAGGTTCAAGGGTGTTCAGCATTTAAATATCTGGACTGTCATGTTAATGGGATGCTCCTATTCTTTGCCCAAGAGTGCTTTTAGGATTGCAAGGTCAAGTACCTAAATAAAGTGCAATCCCTCTCTCGCTGTGAGGATTGGTGCTGGCATTCCCCCTTTCTTCTAGGGCTTAGTTTGGTACGAGTTTGGCTGGTTCTCCTTGCTGCAGCCTTCGACCCGGTCAAATAACTCACAACAACTTTATAGTCAAGTAGAACAAAAGCTTGCCTTGGATGCTTTGTAATAAACTTAATATTGGGGGATATATTCAACTACCTTTTAATTTTAGTGGAATGGGTGTCACTCACCGCTTGTACGCTGCAGCTGTGGCACGGTGGTGTGTGTTCCTCACCCCTGTGGTTGGCTTCGTTTGGGAGTAATTGTAGATGAAGATTAATTAGTGACAGCTGTTGTGAGCTCGTGGTGATTTTTGAAGTCTCGTACAAAGCCACTGAGCAATTCTTGTAGCTTCTTGAGGACAGGAATCATGAAGGATGCTGTAAGAGCATGTATGTGACTCGGGCTGGCCTGCCTGCAGGTTTGTGAAAGCACAGGGCAGAGGCAGACCAGATTCCTGTGCCCTTTGGTAAAAGCAGCATCTCCTGGTGGTGCGGTGACAGCGACTTCGGTCTGGGTGGCACTGGATGTGGGAGAGAGCAAAAATACTCTCCAGTACAGGGCTTCCTTCTCCTATGATTGGGGTAAAGAGTGACCATTTTTGCCCTGTGCATTTACAAAGCAAGCAGTTTGAGAGGTTGGTATGAAGTTGTGAACATCTACCCTTGCTGAAATGGTTAGAAAAACCCAGGTAAAGGTGCTGGCTTAGGCACAGGTTTGAATGCCCATGGCACTGGGCGGCCTGCCTGTGTCAGAGCATCGCGTGTACATTTGAAGTGGTACTTCAGTGCGCCTGAAGAACCTGTCTTCTGGGTGATGATGGTCACAGCTTCTCAGAACTTAAAGTTGCTTTTTAACATTGTATTTTTTGTTAGAACAATCCATGCGTTTTCTTCCAAAGGAAGTTAAATGCCCAAGTCTCGAATGCAGAACAGAACAGTGTGTCTCCGCTCACCCTGGGCAGAGTTTTCCAGAAATAGTTTAATTTTCATTCAACCTTCCCATCCCTGTTACAGCACACTCCCCTTTGGAAACCAGTGTTTGGGCCTTGCTCTTCCCTATGGATGGACTGCAGGCTCTGGAGAGTGTTATTTAAGGGGAAAAAGCTACAAACAAAATAAAACACCCAAAGCCTTGTGTTTCCTTTTGAGCAAAGTGCCTGGAGCGTGGCGGGAGCTGGAGGCAGCCCAGGGATGCTGTGTCGTGGGAGTTCAGGTTTGGGAACCTGTTTCCCAAGGTGGGGAAATGCAGTTGACTGAAAACAAACCCCAAAATGAATGAAGAGTCAGAAACATGTATATTTTAAGAAAACATTATTATCTTCAGAACTAAAATTCATGTTATTCCACAGAAAGCTATTAGTTTGCCTTGACGTGGGCTAAGGGAAATACTAGATTTTCCTGTCAGAAGCGGTGTTTGGCTCAGTTTCATCCACAGTGTACTTGGGAGCTGGCGTATTAAACTGAAAACTGCAAACAGTGCTTTTTTTTTTTTTTTTTAAAGCAGAATAAAGCAAGGTGTGCTTTATTATGCTTGTATGAACTGTTGCATGGAGACTTTCTAAAACATCCTTTTTTCTTTCCCAGATTTGTTACAGATATGACTGGCTGGTTACTCTGCTGCTTCTGTGCCCCAGCGCTTGCTACTCTGTGATTTCAGATAATAGAAGAGAGTTACGAAACTTGTGGTGAGTACTGATATTCTGGAGCATCTTAGCATGCAACTCAAATACTCCTTCCGAAAAAACTCAAACCCAACCATGTGTAAGGGAAGACACTATAAAATCCAGTAACTTCTAACCAGGGTATGTGAAATATCTGTCAAGCCTCGAGAAGGTTGCTTAGAGACCTGAATGCAAGTTATTCAATTCTTATTCCTTAATTCCATTTTAATGTCTTTTTTTCCTGTCGACTTTTGTCAGCATTTTTCACCAGCAGTAAGTTCTCCGGGAACTTGCCTCCCTGCTCTACTCTCCCTGTCTTTATTTTTAGAAGCATACGTGTTGAGCTGCGAAGTAGGTAGCTGCAATGCTGCTTGTCAGTGATTAATATCTCCAACAAGGAAATCGGGTAGAATCGAAGTCGGGGAGAGTCCAAAGTCTTTTGTGATGAATTGGAGCTTCTCTAAAGTGCTTTAACTTTGTAACTGGGAGAGGAGAGTTGAAGTGCTCTGTATATAAGTGTTTGTTCCAGTGCAACAAGTAAAATATGGGCTAGGTTGTCCATTCTATTACATTGGACCCAGTAAATGAGCAGAAAACTCAAAACTGAAGATGTTGGGGAAATTTTTCTCTGTGGAACAAAGAAATCAAAGGGAACATTGTTTGTAGGTGAGGCTGTTTGAGTCCAGTGTGGATGTATCCCTTGGTTTCATAAAATGGGCAGTAGTGATTAAAGTAAACAAAACAAGCAAGTGTTTTGATTTTGTAGAAGTGATGACTTTGAGAGCAGTGCGAGCCTCTGCTGGGCAGGAGGGGGTTTGGGGTGTATGTAATGAATACTGCAGGAGTGAAACTGGCACTGAATTTCCCTTTCTGGACTTCCCATAAAAACGTTTATACCAACAAACTCTTTTTCTCTCGAAGCAGAAGCCAGTGCAGACTAAGTGATACTGATTAAGTAGTTGGGGCATTTTGTTTAGGGCCATAATTGTGTATCATCCTTCAGGAATACTGTTTCTACTTTTGGACAAAATGACATGACAAAACAAATTCTTTCTAAATTGTAATTTCCATTTTGCATTTTCTATGTAGAAAGCTTAATGAGCTCTTGCCTTTTGGTAATTTGAGGTGTGTGTGGGGGGTAGATGGATGGACAACAGTTTCATGCTTTCAGTAGCTTCCAGCCTGGAGGAGAAATCTGTTTTCAATTTTGCTTGATATTGTATCTCAAATCAGTTTGCAGCTTCATCCCTTAAAACTAATTTTATCTTTTTTTGGTGCCAGTAGTAGGAGTGCCATTAATTTTTTGAACAGTCTTTAGTTTGAGCAGTTCAGACTGGTGCAGTACAGTGCTTTTAATATCTTTGAGTCCAATGGAGACCGTAGTCAATCTGCTTCACTTTACATTGTTTTGTCTTAAAGATAAGTCTAAAGCTTTGTTGATGTGTTGTTGTGGAGGGTTTCTTTTGTGACTGAAGCCTTTGGCTTGTTTTTCTTCATCTTGCCTGTATGATGTCTGGGATCTTGGGAACTTTTTTGTTTTATCAGATCAACCCGTTTCGCAGGGGTTTGGGATCTTCTGTGCTCTTTCACTTGGGTAAAGCCTCTTCCCAGCTCGCAGGCTCTCATTTATTCCCCCTTTGCTTTCTGTTCAGGCACTTACACGGGAGGATGGGGATTCTTAGCACAGAGTGCTAGGCAGCGTGAAGCCTAAATGATACAGCAAGGAGACCCATCTTGTCTTTTTTTAGTATGGTAGAAGTTGAGAATGCATTACTGAAAACCTTTATCAATGCTGAGACACTGGAAAGTGGTGCTGTCTCAGCCATGTGTCCTGCTCCCAAGCTGCCTGTGCTTGTATCCTCTTCCTGCCTCCTTTTATCTTTCTGTATATTTAAATTTAATGTTTAAAGAGGCTCTGGTTTTCCCATTTCATGACTTCCACTTGCCCATACTAGCGCCAGGCTGTAAGCTGGCACCCTGACTCCTGTTGTTACTCGTTCAAGGAGCATTTCTGTCCTCATCTGTGTGTTCCCTGCCTCAGGATCCCTGAGCAGAGCCCTGACTTCTTCCCAGCTCTGGTCAAACCAGGGCCAGACACTTCCACTCCTGTGTTTGTGCTGTGGGAACAGGCATTGTCCATGGGAGTGAAGAATTAGCTCTCAACTCTGCTGAGTTGTCCTCCAGTGTGCTTGGTGAACCATGTCCACCTTCATGAACCTGGCTTTAGGAGCAATTATTTTTTTTTCTTGGATGGCATAAATGAACAAGGTGCTGGTTAAGTGGTTAAAGAACTGGCTTAAACAGTTCCTCACGTGGTGGATCTCTGCTGTGCTCACTACGTGGTGTGGTGAAGTGGCTTTCTGCATGGTATTATCATCCCCCTGTCCTGGGCACTGGTGAGGCCCCACCTCGAGGGCTGTGTCCAGTTTTGGGCCCCTCAGGACAGGAGGGACATTGAGGGGCTGGAGCGGGTCCAGAGAAGGGCAACGGAGCTGGTGAGGGGTCTGGAGAACAAGTCTTGTGAGGAGAGGCTGAGGGAGCTGGGGGTGTTCAGTCTGGAGAAAAGGAGGCTGAGGGGAGACCTCGCTCTCTCCAACTCCCTGAAAGGAGGGTGTAGCCAGGGGGGTCCATCTCTTCTCCCGTGGAACAGGAGATGGGACAAGAAGAAATGGCCTCAAGTTGCACCAGGGGAGGTTTAGGATGGATATTGGGAAAAATTTATTCACCAAAAGTGTTGTCAAGCCTTGGCAGAGGCTGCCCAGGGCAGTGGTGGAGTCGCCATCCCTGGAGGTATTTAAAAGCCGGGCAGATGTGGTGCTGAGGGACATGGGTCAGTGGTGGGTTTTGTCAGTGTGAGGTTGATGGTTGATCTGGATGGTCTGAGAGGTCCCCAAGCAAGGCAATTCTGTGGTAGTAGTAGATCCAGTACATGGCTGTATGGGATAGACCTGGACCAATGGATGCTTGCACAGCAGAACACCATGCTGTCTAAGCAATTGGGGTTGGCTGCAGAGCAGACTTCTCCAGGCGTTGCTGGAGGAAACCAGCTGGAACCAAAACCTTGGAGTCTATGGCAAAAAAAAGAGAGGCAGCAGTGCAAGCCGGCGGTGCCTCCGCTGTTCTTTGGCTGCGTATTTGGAGCGGTCCTGATGATGTGTGGTAGCTAAAATATCCTTCTGTACGCAAAGCTTTCTAGTTGTATTAGTCATCCATCAGGCTTCTGGATTATTTAAGTGCTGAAGCTCTCCTCAAAGAACAGCAATATCTATTTGTAGAAAGGTACATAATGTGAAGTGCAATTCCAGTATATTAGAGCGGCGCTGCTTGAGATGTTTTTGGGAATGCTGCCTCTCCTGTTGTGGGACTTCATGGTCTGTAAAGCCACTATCAGAGATCTCTAATCTTATAATTGGTCTTAGGGACTCCAATGGTGGTGCCATTAGGGCTCCTTCTCAACTTTTTCCACAAAATCATGCCTTCAGCTGTTGGATGTTGATCTCCAAATTCTGATAAGCCCCAAGGAAAAGGGGACAGTGACCGAAGAGGTGCTCTGTAGCACTAAGGAAGAATCTCCTACTCGGCATGAAGGAGCTCCCCACTCAAATAGTCACTGACCGAAACCATCTTCTACAACTCTTCAACTTGTACTGACTTGATGTAAGTTGGAAAACACCTGGTGCTGAACTGGTCCATTTTTAAGCTGTAATTCATCTATCTCTGCTGTTTACGGAAAATCTTTAAGGCAGCTGCTAGCTAGAAGGTTAATTACAATACAGCATGATTATATTCATCTAAACTTAGAGAAAGCTCGAATCTTTAATGGCTTTTGTAGTGCTTATGGGTTCACTTCATTGTGTTCTCACCCAAAAATTAAATGCGGGGTTTCATGTAATGTTTGAGATCCATAGACTGGCAAAACACTTGTTCTTTGCTTATGCAGTCTGGCTTTTATGTAACTCATTATTTTTGCTCAAATGTTGCAGAAAGTCTGTTTCCTCTAGCAACAGCCACCAGATGTTTAGCTGAACAAGACTTAATTCTTTAAAATTGACCTGTAAGAAATGTGTGAAGGCGAACATGGGGGTGGAACAATTGTATATCAGCATGATTTCCATTTCCTTGCTAAAAACCCAGTGCAAGCCTTGCAGTTTCATTTGAGCAACGATGGATCCTTATTTTTTGTGGTACGCTATGAGTCCTTTTCCATGGTTTTGAATGTTTCCATAAATGTACTGTTGGGAGGGGGGATGGGATCAAGCTGTCTTATCAGAATTAGCATTAGCTGGGCAATTAGGACTGCATGGGCTAAGTCTGTCTGGCGGATGTGCCACTGTGTGGGTCCTGCTGCGGGTTCTGTTGTCAGGTAGGCTTCTTACCCACCTGTAGGTCTCCTGTGATCAACCCCTCTGCTTTGCTAGACTGACTCTGTTGTAGATTTCCATGGGAAACCAACTCCTGTCTGGGTTTTTCAGCTGGGTGAAGGGAGTGCCCCAGGTTTTACTGGGGGACATGGAGCGAGAAGTCCCGATGGTGACTCCAAGGAGGTCCAAGCAGTTCTTGTCTGTGAAACATCCCCATTCTAGGGCTTCAAGTACCACTGTCCTTCCAAGGCCACTCTGCGTGGGAGAAGTCTATACAGAGACTCTTCTGCTGGAGGTGAATGATCTGGTATTTGGATTTTGGACTTTTCTTCCTCTGGGTCTGCAAAGACTAGGTAAATCAAAGCAGAGCTGTGCCACTTCCCTTCCCCACAAGGATATTGTGCTCCAGATCCCGTTGTGCTTCCCCTTGCGTAGTTTGGACAGAAGGTATGTGAACTGGACAGCCAAGGTGGCTGTAACGGCGGTCTCCTGGCTGGACCTTCAGTCAGCCTCTGAGCGGTATCGTTGGTGCAGGTACGATGCAGCTTTTAAGAATCTGAATGCATGAAAAGCTGCACGGATAATCCTCAAGAATAAATTTATTGGTCTTTAACTGAGGGAGCTGGTGACAGGTCCATACCAGAGAAGTATGGATTGGGTAGA